ACAGCACCATCTTATTATTCAGCACTTTCGAGTAATTGTATATAACAATCGTATTTGTAGCAGTGTTGCTTCAGGACTCAACAGAGCAAGTGAGCCAGCAGTCGAAGCTGAGGGAGGCGTTCTCCAAAGTTTGAAGTCATCTCCCTCAGATTCTTTGAGGAAGGTTAGAGCCTTCCAGGGTCCGACTGAGCTGCTCTGCAGAGCAAAATTCCATGTGGGTCAGATTGCAAAGTGTTCGTTTTGATGATACGAGTAAATCACTGTGCTCCTGTGGACTGAACCCCTTCATCCTCCACTTCATTTCATTTTTCCTTTTAAATCTTTGGTCTTCCGAGCTGACAAAAACACAATGCATTAATCCAACGAGCCAGCCAGGATTTCTACCTGCTTTTTAAACTTTGAAAAATCATTTATTTTCAGAAGCCCAACGTTAGTGAAAAACATACCCACCAGCTTAGGCTATGGAGCAGCTCTTAATGCAAGCTTGCAGGTAAAAAAAAATACTAAATTACTCTTTCCTTGCACATATTCATTATGTTCTTATATGTGACATGTTTAATTCCTGTGCTATTATGGTTATACAGTTACCTGTATTTATGTTTATGTGGACATTATGGTCACTCTTAATAGTTGGGTTTATCATCCAAGTAAGTTGTATTACCTAGCACTGCAAGTACTAGTTCTTATTCGTGCTACTTTTGATGTGAAGAAGCAAGAAGGACACCCTGTGGCAAAATCTGGAACACTCAGTTTTGCTGCAGACGTTAGATTGATAGAAGCTTTTGCAAATGCATGTGGATATGCATTAATATTTATCCAAGCTGTCATAAATGATTTCACATCATAGTGTTGGGGAACATGGTGCTCATGGCAAAAACTTTAAAGTTTAATTATAATATATAATTTTTATGCAGAAGAGGCAAGTGTCAGGACTTTTTTTATTTTGAGTTAAGTTCTGGTCATTTTTTAAAGTATAGCAGCTGCCTGCATTATAAAGGAGCCATACATTGTGTGGAAGGACATAGGGGTTAAATGTAATTCAAAGTCAAGAAATGATGTAAAACTAGAAAGTGCTATGAATATTGTAACGTAGTTTGCAATGGAAAATAACGGAAGTCATGTAAGAGAAACCCAAAATAGAGATGCCGTTATATTGGGAACGTGAAAATGACTGAAAAAGTTACAAAAATCTCTGACTACCCGTTTCAGCTATGCAATATGAGCAGCTTTGTGAATGTACATTCATATGTGTATGAACATAGAAAAGTGGTCAGGATATGTATGGACTGAGGATTTTGTTTTCACTTTTCGTTTTGCTAGGCCGCCCTGGCAGAGAGCAGTTTACCATTGCTTAGTAACCCAGGATTGATAAATAACGCATCCAGTGGCTTACTGCAGGCAGTCCATGAAGATCTCAATGGTTCGCTGGATCACATTGACAGTAATGGAAATAGCAGTCCGGGCTGCTCTCCTCAGCCTCACATGTAAGTGCAGTTTGCATGCTTTAAAGCAAAAAAAAAAAAAAAAAGCTTTTTCTCTTAAGACCAAATATTACTCAAAACTGCTTTGAAACATAGATAAGTGAAATATCTGGAGCTATATGTTAGAAACCAGACATTTAAATAGACGATGCCTGCTTCTTTACTTAGTGAATAGTTACCATCCTTCAAGGTCCTTTGGTATCAGCCTTTCTTTTCTCTCTCTCTCTCTCTCTCTCTTTTTTTTTTTTTTAAATCTTCTCAACTTGCTTGCAAGCACTGGAGGTTTCTTCGCTGTCTGTGTGGTCATTTCCATCATTTCCACAGCTCGGTTTGTAACATGTAGTCAGAAGGTCCATGTTGGAATTAGTTGCGATTTTAACTACAAGTCTCTAAACCATTTATGAACTGCAGTGGAGATATTGCCCATTTATATAAACCGTAAAATGCAAAGTTTAACTGTTGCCCACAGTTTACATAGAAGCCAGTAAAGTGTAACTTTTTGCCTGTCTTATAAATCAGTGTAATTACATATTCAACTTTAATTACTGGTGCGTCTGTATTGGCAAGGTTTATATGTTATATTTTATGCAAGACTACGATTCCTATTAATATTTAGCAGCTAACTATATCATTAATTACTCTAAAATCTTTCCCCTACCATCTTTTTAATGGAGCTGAGAGAGTGGAAGTATTAAAAATTGATGTATTGTGGATTTCAGAAATGTGTCTGAAGCTTTAGAAATGCCTGGCCTTAATCAGTGGTGTCAAACGTGGCAGTTTCTTGTTTACTAAATAGTAAAACATGTATCTTGGAGGTATTGTTTCCCAGGTTATTTATATAATAATTAGTAGTGTGATATCTAAGTAGACTTAGATTTACGTTTACTGTAGGATGATTTTTAATGTATATATACAATTACATTCTCTTTTTTTTTCTGTATTTAACATAGCTGAACCAATCTGCCTTTTTTATTGCCTTTTCTCTTTCACATTTTTAATCTTCTCTTTAACTCTAGAGTGGGATATTTAGGAGTAATAGTAAACACTTTTTACTTATATTCTGGTGTCTGACAAATCCATTTTGATTCGTCCTTTTTTTGGAGAGATATTTTGCTAAGTTTCTCATTTGTTTGGCATGTTCAAATATTTCTGATTATATAGAAATGTTTATTGTCCTACATTTAATTGTTTTATTACACATTTATTCTGCTTGCCTTTGAAAATAATATACTGTGAACATTAATGTATTTTATCAGGTTCCAAACCATTACTTTTTCAAAATGGAAAAATTTGTCTTTTGGAAGTGTCTTTAGATGTATTAAATAATACAAAAGAAGTAATAAAACTTGAAGTAGAAAGAACATGAATATATGCTCTTGAGAGTAACACTACTCTAAAACAAGTAAAGTGAGCAATCAGACAAAAGTTTTTATATCCCGTGCTTTATGCTATCAACCATGCAGTGGGTAGCTTGAGGCCTTTTACTTTTAGCAGTTCTCCTGAGTATGCTAATGCTCTCTTCCTGTATAAAATGCCAAGACAATAAAACTTTAAAGAGCAAACAAGAGTTAGATCATGTGTGTTAAAAACAGCTACTTTACAGAAAAGAATGACACTTGCTATTAAAGTTGTTTTGTAACTGTTTGGCAGATATGTTTACATATACTGTGTACTGTCTGACATACTGCTGGATAAACTGAGATATCTATGCATATGATTATGTAGATATGGCTGCCTTGTATAATTATGTTTAAGGCTAAGAAATTGCATATTGCAGCAATTCTTGTCTATAAAAAAAGGCAAATGACTTGAATCACATCTCAACTCAGTGTTCAGTCTTCTTCTCTCGTTTATAACATATGCAAGTAGCGAGGCTTTTGCCAAAAATTGGCAGTTTTAGGACTTACAGTGGTGACTCTTTTGAACCTTATGACAGCACATTGCTTAGCACTTGATAGACTGAAGCAACCAAATGCAAATGTGCTGAGATGCTGCTGGAGAAAGGGGCTACCCTCTTTCAGACCCTGCACCAAATGCAGTGTCAGTTTGAGGAGCTCCTATCAGATCACAGACTGTCAGGAAAAGCTGTAGACTAGGACTGGAGATCTGTTCACTTGGGCTATCGTTGCCTTTCACTTGCTGAGGGCACAGAGAGTATGAAAAAGGGAATGAAGCCTACAAGGGAGTATGGAAAGTCGTTGAAGTGTGAGGGTTGTGCAGGAGGCAGAGAACCAGGGAAGAGAAGGGGCCATTTCCTGGCTTCCACATCCATACAAGTGCGTTTGGTTTTGATCAGTGCAAGAGCATTATTTAAAAAAAAAACAAAAGGTAGAAAAGAACAGCATATGGAAAGCAGCACAGTAAATAAGGATTGCAGAAAAAAAAATGAAGAGAAATAGATTTTAAGTTTCACACTACTGATTCAGATTACATAATCCTGTTCTTTTCTTTTAACACAGAATATTTGGTAGACTAGAAATAGTTTCTCTTTTACTGCCACCACCATCCTTTTATTTGCATCTCCCACAGATGGTTCACCCGGGAAGACAAGTGTTCATGGTGACAGTTAGAGCACTTGCTATAGAGTAGGTGGCTCTATTCATCTTCAAGGAGATTAAATCTGTGTCTCCTGTATCCAAGGAAAGTATACTAGCCACCATACCATGAATATGCAGAGCAACTGCATTCTGTCTGTCATCTTGAAGCTGGGAAGGAGACAGCAATGTGAGAGGCAACGTTGGAGGGGAACAGGGAAGAGGATGTGTACAATTCAGAGAGCAGAGCCTTCAATCAGCTGGATTTGGGTTCTAGACCAAGCTTACTGGAATATATATGCTTGCTATTAGACCATCAGCAAGAAAATAGGGAAAAGTTCCAGTGACCAAGCATCTTAGGCACACTTTTGTTAGAATTGTATGGTGTATAGTTTTATCAGATAAATATATGGTGATGGTACATTCGTATTAATATTTTTAGTGGTATCTATTTGTCATCTTAAAAAAAATTGCAGTTGCAAGTTCAGTAGTCAATAATCCTTTGTTTTGAGCATAAGAACATTAGCAAAGACATATCCATTACTGCAGTACTTCATATTGACTGTCAGAAAGTGGGGAAATTATTCCACCCCTGGATTTGAACCTGGTTCTTCACACCTGGTTTTCAGAATGAGTGTAATGAGAGCAGTTACAGGGATCAGCTTATCCAACGCGTAGACAGGTTATCTAATGTAGGTGGGGTGAATCAACCTGCTTAGGAAATTGTCTCTGCTCATTGACTAGAAAGATACAGTAGGTATATATAACTTTAAATGTCTAACATTTAAATGGATATTAAGGGCAGTAAATCCCAGTCAGTGTATTTACGGCAGTGGCACTTTAAAAGCAGTTTTGCTTTGGTAACAGTATGTAATCTGGTGCATTTCTTAGATGCAGAGAATACATAGTGGTCTCTGTTGAAAATACTGAGGTTAAGTTTTAGATAATCAGTATGATCATGGCCTGACAATTAAAAAAATTAAAATGCTGATAATTACACATGGCATCTGAAATTTTCTGCTGCCTTCCCAGATTCCATTTCCAATCTGATGAAAGATGATAATTCCATGGTCTTGCAGCATTCCACTAGTGAGATCCCAAATCCTAGATATACTTCCTCTGTTTCAACAGCAGTAAATCCAAGTTCTGCCTTGGTTTAGTCTTCAAATCCAGTTCCTATTAGGTTTAGCTCCCCTGACATAAATCTTTACTGAGAAAATACATTGCTCATTTCAGGCATGTGTTCTCTGTCACTGTGGGCACATGTTCATATGTTCTGTTCAAATTTCCAGTTTCCTTTAATGTGTCAAACAATTATCTTTTCATTTAAATCAACACTTAAGACTGTTTCCTTTTTTGAATTTGGAATTCTCCAAAATTACCAAGCTTTGGCTGAAAAGCTACAGGTTTTAGATTAATAGCAGCACAGACAAAGGAGGGTTATGTCATTTTATGTATTAAAAGTTATTAGTCTGTAGTCCCTACTGTTCCTGAAAGTAAATGGAGCAACGTACTGATGCAAAAAATATTACTGTCTATCCTTGCCTTATTCTAGTGCCAAGCAGTGACTATTTATTCCATCACCAAAAAAAAATAAAAAAGGAAAGGAAAGGAGAACTGTTCAAGTGTTTCTTGCTAACCAAGTTGACTGGCCACAGGAAAGTCCCATTAGTCTCATAGTGATGCAGGTACCATGGGATCAAAAGTTAAATAAATAAATAAAATAGGAAAAAAAAAAAGAACAAATTCTGATGATCACATGATTGCCTATTAGAGGAAAAAAAAAGAGAGAGAGATCACATTCAAGTGTATATTTATAGCATTAAAAGCTGCCTTTGCTATAGCAGAGCCATGGTAACTAGCAGCATATGTGCAAGATAAAAAAGCATTGGTTTAAAGCACAGAAAGAAAAGATACACATCTTTATGGTATAGATGTGGATTTGTAAAGTAAAAGAAAAAAAAATGTAATACAACCAAACAATTGCAGTTAAACCTGATGGATATGGGAATCTAGGAAAAGTGTAAAACTTCCATAGTCCCTGATGCAGCAGTATCACTGGACAAGACATTTGGTGATATTCAGGGGCAATAGTGGCAGTGCAGGGGTTGGCAATGACACAACTTTTTAACCAGGATTTCACGACTTGTGTATTCCCGGAGAGTTTTGAAGGGATTTGAAAGTCAGTTCCTTCAGAGCCAGTAGTTTTGGATTTGTAAATGAAAGACAGACATCATTATGAAGTCAACTCAGCGCTGTTATTTTTCCTGTACCTCCATTTGTGTGTTCAATAGTACTCCCAGCAAAAGGAAATAACAGGGCTAGAAATTAAATTCAACTCTTTTTCTCCTCTATCTGTATTTCTGTATTAGATATTGATCACCTGCAGTGATTCTTGCAACTGACGTGGATCATTGTGGCTTGCTACCAGAACACTTAATGCATCTGTTTTGCATGTGTTCATATTTT